GAGGAGGAGAGGCTGCAAGAAGAAACTCGCAGCACCCCATGAGCACCCATGTATTAAATTCCTATTTTGTTATTTCCCAAAGTGATAAACAAAAAGAAGAAGAAAAACCAAAAAAAAAAAAACAAGAAGAAGAAGAAGATACTCCCGTAGAAGCAGCTGGGTTCTAGCCGGGAGGCCAGAGGCCAGGTGGCGATGCAGCTGCCAGACCCTTTCTAGAAGGAAGCCAGAGACGGTGCCTGTCTTCTGTCTGTCTTGTCCCTTCTGTCCTCAGAGGACAGGCATCCTGCGAAGAACCAGAGTCTCTAGTCTCCAGTGCCTGGCCTCAGCCAGGCACCACCATGTCTAGAAGGTCTAGAAGGCCGGGAGAGTGGCTTATTTGACAAGTGTGAACCATGTCCCCTCTGGGTATTGGGGGTGGTTGTATTTTCCTCCCTCTGGTGGCTTGCTCTCTCGCTTCAACCATCACACACCCAAGCTGGGAACAAGACTAGAATAGCTCCAAAGCTCTCGCCTGATATTTCCCCCCCTCCCTGGTCCCCTTTCCGCTCATCACTTTGACTCACCTGTAAATTCATCCGTCCTCCGACGCCCAGTAACACATCAACTGTCCCTCGCCCAAACCGCTGAGCGCTTTCTACTTGCGTGGTGTACTTATTTATTTTTGTCTGTAGGTAGCAGAGGCTCATGTATTTTTTCTTCTTCTTTTTTTTTGGGGGGGGGAGGGGAGGTGTTCTTGAATTTTCTTTTCTCTGACAGGAAAACAAATAAAGATAGATGTGTCTGAGAACCTTGACTTTCTCCAGCAAATTTCCTTTCCTTCCTTCCTTCCTTCCTTCCTTCCTTCCTTCCTTCCTTCCTTCCTTCCTTCCTTCCTTCCCTTTCTTTCTTTCCTTCTTTCTTTCTTTCTTTCCTTCTTTCTTTCTTTCCTTCCTTCTTTCTTTCTTTGGTTTTCTTTCTTTCTTTTTTACTTATGGGGCTTGAACTCAGTCTCTGAACTCTTTTGCCCAAAGCTAGCACTCTACTACTTTGAGCCACAGCACCACTTACGGTTTTCTGGTGGTTCACTGGAGATAAGAGTCTCACGGACTTTCCTGGCCTGGCTGGCTTTGAACTGCAATCCTCAGATCTCAGCCTCCTGAGTAGGATGACAGGCGTGAGCCACCAGTTCCTGGTCTATTTTGATGATCTTTAAGGAGCTTTATAGCAGTGAGGTTGGCTCCTACCTGTCATCCTAGCTACGCCAGAGGCTGAGATCTGAGATTGTGGTTCAAAGCCAGCCAGGGCCAGAAAGTCTTATTTCCAGTTAATCATCAAAACGCCAGAAGTGGCATTGTGGTAAAGCAGCAGGGTAAAGTGCTAGCTTTGAGCAACAAAGAAATAAAAAGCTCAAGGAAAGTGCCCAGGCCCTGAGTTCAAGCTCCACCAAAAAAAAAAACAAAGTGAGAGCAAGAAAAAGGAAGAAAGAGCAGGAGGAAGAGGAGGGGGGGAGGGGAAGAAGAAAGGAGGAGGAGGAGGGGAAGCAGGAAGAGGAGGAGGAGGGGAAGGAGAAGAAAGAAAGGAGGAAGAAAAAGAAGAAGAGAGGAGGAGGAGCAGGAGGAGGGGAAGAAGGAGGAGGGGGAGAAGGGGGGAGGGAAGGAAGGGGAGAAGGGAGGAGGGGGAGGAGGGGGGAGGGAAGGAAGGAGAAGCCCAGGAGAGGCCAGCTCCCAGTTTGGCAGTGACAGAACTGGGATTGTCACCCATGCTCTGGGCCCCTGGCTCACTGGCTGCGCTGGTGCCAGTCATCTTGGACAGCTCCGCTGATTGGCCAGTTACGGTCAGAGGCGGGGAAGGACTTGAGAGCCGGCCAATGTGGTCAGGGAGCTTGAGCAGGGAGGCGGGGCAGGCGGGCCCAGGGCCCAGTGGTCAAGCAGCTATGGGGTGTTTCTCCCTCCACAAAGTCCACGGGAGGTTTGGGGGTCGCGGGGGGACCCGGGCTGCCATCCATGGATTCGCTGCGCTGGCTGATCACACCTGCCACCCCAGCTACTCAGGAGGAGGCTGAGATCTGAGGATCACAGTTCAAGGCCAGCCCGGGCAGGAAAGTCCCTGAGACTCTGATCTCCAATGAACCATCAGAAAAAGGAAAAAAAAAATAGGCAAATGTGGTGTTGTGGCTCAAGTGGGAGAGCGCTTGCCTTGAGCAAAAGAAGCTCAGAAGTTCAGGCCCTGGGTTCAAGCCCCAGGACTGGTGCACACACACACACACACACACACAATCTCAGCCTATTCGTTGCAGAGAAAAGATGTGTGTGTGTGTGTGTGTGTGTGTGTGTGTGCACCAGTCCTGGGGCCTGAGATGCTGTCCTCCAGCTTTTTAGCACTCTACCACTTGAGCCACAGATTTTGGGTTTTTTTTTTGAGTGCTTCATGGGAGATCAGAGGCTCACGGATTTTCCTGCCCGGGCTGGCTTTGAACCACCATACTCAGATCTCAGCCTCCTGAGTCGCTAGGATGACAGGCGTGAGCGGCCTGACACTACATTTCCATTCTTTAAGGAGGGGGAAAAAAATCATCCTTTGAGCAGCTGTGGAAGAAGATTGGTTTCCATGGCAAAGCCAGGCAGTTTGCCTGCAGCCCGAGCTGCGAAGGGGTGATCCAATGGTCCTGCTGTAGAAATGTGCTCTCTCCCTCTCCCCCTCTCTCTCTCCTCCCCTCCCCTTTCTCCTTTTCCTTCTCTTGCAAACAAAGTCTCACAAACATCCTGGCCTAGAATCCACTCCATGATCCAGGCTGGCCTTGAACTGCCAATACGCCAAGCCTTCGCCTCCCAAGTGCCGGGATTATAGGCATGCGCTACCTACCACACCCAGCTCTGTCCTGTGTCAGTCATTCCATTGTCATCGTTGGGCTGTGTCCATGCTTCTCAGTGTAGCTCCTGGGGAGGACTTTCTTCTGCCCTGAGAGGAGCTGAGACTCAGGGACACCTGTACTTGGGAAAGACCCAGGGCAGGGAGTGAGTGAACTTCCATACAGACATTTGCAGCCATGACCACGCCCGCGATGATCACCCACAAGCAGCCAACCATACACCGACTGGGCCCCCAAAATATAGACAAACAAAAATAGGATGAGCTGGAACACAAATACCTTTACAAATTCGCCACTTATTTATTTGCCAGTCCTGGAGCTTGAACTCAGGGCCTGGGTGCTGTCCCTGAGCTTCTTTTGCTCAAGGCTAGCACTCTACCACTTGAACCACAGCGCCACTTCTGGCTTGTTCTGTGTCTGTGGTACTGAGGAATCGAACCCAGGTCCTCAAGCATGCAAGGCAAGCACTCTACCACTGAGCCGCCTTCCCAGCCCCTACTTCTGGTTTTCTGGTGGTTCATTGGAGCTCAGAGTCTCACGGGAACTTTCCTGCCCGAGGCTGGCTTTGAACCACGATCCTCAAATCTCAGCCTCCTGAATAGCTGGGATGACAGGCGTAAGCCACGGGCACCCGGCCCGGTGAAGGTCTTTAGCTGCATCTGGAATACCAAAAACAACCAACAAAAACCAGAAGGGGAGAAGAAAACCTTTGAAAGTCACAATTGCATCTTGAGAAATGGTATTTTTACAGAGTTCTTTTTTTTCTCTGACCCATTTTTTTTCCAGGCAACACAGATGTAAGCTGCTTCTGTGGGTCTCCAGCCAAAACCCCCAAATGCTTCCAACCTCTCTCTGCACAGGTCCTGAGAAAATGGGGGGGCAGGGCTACTGGGGAGGGAGGGGGAGCATCTCCTCATATGAAAGCAACACCACTCACACAGGGGGTTCAGACTCCATGCTGTTGAAGAGCAACCGGGCCCAGCGCCTCCTGCCTGCCATCCCAGCGACTCAGGAGGCTGAGAGCTGAGGATCATGGCTCGAAGGCCGCCCGGGGAAGAAAATCTGTGAGGCTCTTATCTCCAATAAACCACCCAAAGAACCAGAAGTGGGGCTGTGGCTCAAATGGTAGAGGGGCTAGCCTTGAGCACAAAGAGGCTCAGGGACAATGCCCAGGCCCTGAGTTCAAGGCCCGGGACCAGCGCATACACACGCATACACACACACACACACACACACACACACACGATACTTCAATGCATTTGGCTTCTTGAGTTATCATCATAATTCTGTGAGCTATGAATCACCCTGGGTTGATGAGGATGTGGAGGTTCAGAGAGGCTAAAATAACACACAGCTGTTTCCATGGGAGTCCGGATTGGGACACAGACAGCTCACTGGTGTCATTCATGCTTTAATTGTCTCACCAAGCCCAAAGCTCTGGACCCGCAGATGAGCCACAATGCCAGCATCTTTACCATGGGCCCCAAGAGAAGATAGTTCTAGAATGTGTGTGTGTGTGTGTGGGGGGGGCAATCCTGCTTGAACTCAGGGTCTGGGCACTGTCCCTGAGCTTCTTTAGATCAAGCCTAGCCCTCTACCACTTGAGCCACAGCGCCACTTCTGGCTTTTTCTATGTGCTACTGATGCATCGGATTTGGATCTGAGGACCATTCTGATGGCCGTGGGCAGGGATTAAGGGGGCGGTGGGGACAGTTGTAGCAGTTCAGGAGATGGGGTTGGTGGAGGCTGGACCCATGGTTGGAGGGTGCTGACCACATATACACTGGACGGGCTACCTTGGCCAACGGTCCAAAGCTCAGGCCCTGAGTTCAAGCCCCAGGATGGGCGCCGAAAGACTTAAAAGCGTAGCAGAGTGAACAAACCAGTAACCCGATGATGCCTTGCTGTTCTCTGGTGTGAAGAGCTGTAGCCGCTGTGCATGCTGGGCCCCAAGCGGCTGGCAGCCTGGGGGGGGGTAGGACCAGACAAGGGCGGTTACCATGGCAGCCATCAGAATCCTCCAGGACCATGCATCTCCCTGGATGAGAGAGGATATCATGGTGGCGGTGGCCGTACTGATGTTTGGAAAAAGCAGATGTTGCTTTGCTGATCAGTTGCATAAGAAGAGAGAGAGAGAGAGAGAGAGAGAGAGAGAGGGAGAGGGAGAGACAGAGACAGAGAGAGAGTAAGACAGAGAGATCAGAAAACAGACACAGAGGAAAGACAAAGAGATTGAGAGAGAAGACAGGGAGAGAAAG